CAGCCATCATGTGCCACGCAGACCAACACTGGACAGAAGCCCTACCCCTGGTTCTCCTCGGAATCCGCACGGCATTCAAAGAGGACCTGCAGGCATCAGTAGCTGAGCTTGTGTACGGAGAGCCACTAAGAATACCAGGAGAGCTGCTAACTCCGACTGCCGAGCCAGTGGATCCAGCGCACCTCATCACCCAACTTCGCCAATATATGGCCCGCCTCAGACCTATTCCAGCAACACGCCATGCTTCCCCGGCTACATTCGTGCACAGCGACCTCGAGAAGTGCACACACGTCTTCCTCCGGCAGGGCACTACTCGCAGAGCATATTCTCACTACATAGGATCAACAACAGGTGAGAAGAAATCTGGTGCTATTTACCAAATACCCTTCTCTGGGAGACCACTACAAGCAGCTCAAAGGCTATTACAGTTGTCATCTTGGTTAGTCGATCCAAGAAGTAACCTGCGTGTATACTTGGAACAAGCAGCATCTAGTAGAACAAACATTCCTATCCACATCTTGAAAACTGCAACTAGCACCATCACCGGTGGATCTGTTGTTCACAGACTAGATGATCATGTGACAAAGAGAGGCACACTCAACAATATTCGGCCCAATGTAACATCTCACATTTACTTTTCAACTGATAGAATGGGACGATTTAACAGAGGATCAGACAACTACAACATGCACTTTCAAGGGGCAATCCACTTTGGGATGGCTATATTTGGATTATGCTCTTTCAGAAATCTGGATCATATAGATGGGTTAGTTCTAACCTACAAAGGAAGCTGCTGCGAAGAAAAATTATTGGATTTCTTGATTAGAAATGACAATATACCTCCAACCATATCCAAAGTGTCAAATAACCCCTTGCTCTTTGCAGACATGAAAGAGATAGGGAAATCAGTTCACCCCAGGAGAAGCAGTATAGCCACACATACTACAACACTAACAGTGAGCATGCTATCTTATATCTTGTTTTGGAGAGGATCTTGGCATCCTCAGCAATTGTGGTTTTAGGCCCATTGGAAAGAATAACACCTGTAGTAGGTCTCATAAGTGTAGGTGAAGTAGTCGGAATTGGAATAAAGCCTATCATTTATATTTTAGCAGGTTATTTATTCCTTCTATTGCCTTATGAAAGTGATAAACAAGATAATGTGCTTCAAAATATTTCCTCTCAGAGTTTCATGGAACTTGCACTTATCTGTTTATTGCCTAAGGTTCTTCCACAATTCCATGAATTTATTGGGGAGAATTTAATAGTAAGCTTGTTCACTCAGCCAAGAAATGTCTGCCAAGTGCTGAAACAACTTGTTGTGAATGAAGTTTAATCCATACTAAGATCAGCCAACAAGAAGATGAAGAACACATCTTTGATACATTTCACCTCTTCTAAAGTTTGAGTTCCTCGAATCCTACACATGTGGGCAAGGCAAATATGCGTGTCAACTGGAGGAACAATTCATTTGAGTCCTGTTATCAAATCTCTGAACTATCAATATAGTCTCAGAGATTTATTCAGTCCTATCCTAGAAGGAGAGATCATAGAAAAATCTCTAGCATTATATGATGCAAAAACCTTTGATATGATATGCTCTACTTGTCCTATCAAAGTATCACCATATCCGGTGGAAGTTGTTGCAAGATTGTCAAGAAAAGAAAAGAGAAGAACTTCACTAATTGTGAGTAAGAAGCAAGAGTCAAGAAGTCGAGAAAGACAACTCTATAAGGAGAGTATTGTCCCTGTTGAGATTAGGATACATGAATATCCACTGTCAACGTTATGCTCTGAGGATCCATCCAGGTGCTTATATGTAAGATCTGAAGTAAATCCAAGGACATTAAAGCTGCCAAGAAGCAGAGAAGATCATAAGTATCGCTTGTTTGGTGAGATCTCAACATCATATACGAAAATTATACATATACTTGATGTTGAAAATATTACAGTTTCTGATTCTGTGATATGTTTGGCAGAAGGAGAAGGTGGACTTTGTAGACTCTTGCACATGAGAGGTGCAGAACTCATCTACTACAATTCAAAGATAGAGACAGATAAATTGGTTCCACAACGAGGGTTAGGATTTGTTCCAGCTTGTGTGAGTGATCTCAACACTATAGTAAAATGGGGAGATATTTGTGCTTTGACAGGTGGATATTTGACTAAGGAAATGTGATCCAATCCTTATTGGATAGAACCCCCACGGAGAAAGTCAGTCTTGTAACTTGTGATGCAGAAATTACATCGAACTTACATCCATATGCGGCATGTAGAATTGTGAACAGTTGGTTGATGATTTGCATTAAGTCAAGAACACATCAGGACGTTTCCTGCCCAACAGTAGTCTCTAACGCCTCTGATAGATGGGGGAAGAAATATAGATACCGCCAAGCAAGTAGAGGCCGAACTTGCTTGCTCGGTCGGGACTGACGGTACGCACCAATATCGGTAGGGTATAGAGAGGGTACAGAGGGTAGCACATTAGATCAAACTGGTCGCGGTGCATGGGGAAACCCACCCTCTTTCTCTCTCTCTAAAAAAAAAAAAAAAGATGCCAGGCTGGGAGATTGACATACATCTGCTGTGCTGTGACGTAATGCTGTGAATCTTGAAGTGTGTACAAAGGTGCAGCCAAATTTACAAGTAACCGCTATTTGTAACTGTGTAGTGCTGTGAATAAACAGTGCATTATTAACATCGAGCTGTGATCCAAGGACTTCTTCACCAAGAAACTCTCTTCGTTGGAGCAAGGTCCGTTAAGCCCTGGGGAGGGAATCTCATTGCTCAACACAAAACATTATCTTCTTTCTAACCCAAACACCTCCACCTGTCCCCAGACCTCGTAACGGCACCCAACTTCATAATCAACGAAACCCCCCAAAAAGGGCTGACAAAGGTGACCCCCAACGCGAGGCATCGCCAATCCTACAAGTATAGTACTGTCAAAAAGGGGTAGATCAAAGAAATTAGGCAAACAGTGGTTAGGCCCCTATGTGATAGTTGAAGTGGATAAAGTAAAGGGACGGCAAGTACAGAAGGTACACCTTAACGGCTTAAAGCCATTTTACGTATCAGACACTGGGTAGATGCAGTACCAAAGTAATTTTCTATTTTCAGAAAAAAAATGACCAAACTAGTGGAAAGAATGCTATGGATAATCTCATCCAATTCGGAAAATTGGGACTATACATTGGAAAACTATGAGGAATCTCCCAGATTTTATTACCATAACAAGGGTCAGATGAACCTGAATACAGAATGGAGTGTGGAACTATACGTAAAGTTAAAGAAAATAGATACGCAATCACAGCAAACAGAGCAGTACATAAAAACATGTGAACAAGTTGTGCCAAGAAATAGGAGTCCAAAACTGGACTGGTTGCCATTATATTCGGAGACTGCCAACGATAAGTTACAACGAATCAAGAAAACTGAGGAACTATTTACTAGATATCACTGAGCACAAGGTAAGAAGAATGTGAATAAAAAGGGGAATTTTCAATTTCATTGGAGAAATTAGCAAAATACTATTCGGTACAATGGACAATGATTACTATAATGATCAAATAAAGCAATATGAAGAAAAATCGGAGGATATTACAAAATTACTAAAACAACTTTTTGTAGTAAAATCGTCATTAGGAGGTACAAACAATACACTAACCGACATGGAATGCAATGAGGAAAAGGTAAAAATAGAGTTACAATTAAAAAGCTATTTGGAATCAGTGACCGCGGAAAATGACGAGAATCTCAACATTTTGACAGCAAACGTCACTGTAGAAGGCCACATTGCCAGAGAGGGAGAGGCAACAAAGTTGCAATGTCAATGCTACGAAGGGAACATTGCAACCACAGACTGTATCTCCAAAGTAGAAATGGGTGCCTTAATGCAGAGCATGCCACCATTTCCCCATGTCACTACCTCACCTTTCCCTTTGAGCAAGAATTCCTTGCATTTAATTTATAGTTTGTAATATTCATGTACGAGATGAGGGTATATTAGGTTATGTTATTACCCTTCCATTGATTACTAGAGGTATATTTAAGATTTATAGAATTATACCAGTACCCACACCCTTAGCGTAGTTTGTTGAGGGGCTATGCTACAAGCCAGAAGGTCATGGGTTCAAATCCCGATAAGGTCACTGGATTTTCCAGTTGACCTAATCCTTCCAGCCACACTAGGCCCTGGGGATTACTCAGCCTCTAACAGAAATGAGTACCAGGAATTAATTAAATAATTTTCCTGGCGAGTAAAGCACGGCGGTGCGTAAGGCTGACGACCTTACCGCCATCTTTGAGCCGATTGTCTAGATAGTGTGGGACCCCCGTCTCACAACCCTATGGGCCTTCAAGGCCTGGTACAGGGATAGCTTTACTTACTTTTACCCACACCCTTAGGAAATAAAAAATTCGCCTACATAAATAGAGAGGAATCGCAACTATGTATAGATCAAACCAGACATTCTTATTTTGAAACTAGTGATGAGGAATTAAAGGATTGTATAAAACAGACTCCAAAAGAAAATATGTAAACAGAAACAGCTGTTGTTTTCAAGCCATTCATAAGAATCTCGTAGTCAAGTTACTGAAGGAAAGAACATTCCTAAAAGCAGCGGTACCAAAGAGGTACAGTTCAGGAATACAATTTGGACTCAACCTGACAACAACGAATGGATATATTTCACACCTACCTCTGAAGGTGTAACGGTGTTATGTAATGATAAAGAACCTGCAGATGTTATAATCTCAGGTGTGGAAAAATTTGGGATAAATGCTAGTTGTAAGGGATACAGTTTGGTCACACTTAACAGCACAAATGACTGTACTCCTAACCAACAAACATGCTACATCAAGCAACCAACAACCATAATAAAATTACAAGCTTGATTCATTTTTACACTGTATTACAAGCAAAAACAGAATAAAATATGCAAAAGCATACTTTTTTTATTTTAAACATAGTACGAAACCAATTTCAAGGCAGAAATGACAATACACTTCAGCTCTGCACTTAGCAGACAGAGAGCAAGCGGTGGTCGCTCGGCTGGTATAGTTCGCTTGCGGACTAAAGCCACGGAGTTTATCAGCTCTCACCTGACAAATATGTCTTAATTCCAAATAATGCTAAACAAAGACTGTTGAAGTAGGATTTTTGAAACTAGAGAACCGAAAATTTATAGGCACCATATGCGCCTGGTGCCTGAAATTTGTTGAGTCCCACTGTAATATATAGTGCACCAATTCATTTACAAAATTTCTATGCTAAAAATATAAAATGTTGATACTCTAAATCTAGATTTTTGATTCTACGAAGTGACTCAAATTTTCATGCTTAAATAATGTTCTGTATATCTCCCAAACTATTCAACAATCTAATTTGACCACGAAGATGCAAAAGAGAAGCCAGCAGAAACAGAAATTTGATCAATTCTGTCTGACCTATAAGATCTTACATGATCTGGATGAGAAAAAAATGCAAACTCTTCTTTACTGTTGGATATCGATGCCCAGTGAACCAACAACCACCAATCCACTGTGGGAGTTTCCCACATTCAAGCAAACGTTACAGTGAGACAGGTCAGGTACCACTGCTTAGCAACGACTGTTTACTTGCCATTGCATCAGGTACCATTCCTTGAATGTGGGCAGTTCCCACGCTACATTTTCATAAAAGTACAGTAAAAGGCAAAGCTATCCCTGCTAACAGGCAGTGGAAGCCCACAGGACTGCAGCACATCGAGGCTCCCACATTTTCTAGACAATTGGCTAGTAAAAATATTGTACATATACTTTCAGGATAGAAATGGGCAGCAAATCCAACAGGTATAAGTGAACTGTACTGGAATAAGCATAAATATACCCAGTAAGAAATAAAATTATGGTGAAATATTGTTTCAATTTAAGGTAAAAATGCTTTCCAAATGTGTAACAGTTAGCAAAGAAGCAGTGACTAACTGTTCAAACAAGGGACAGCATATTTAAATCCTTTCTTCTTATTTCCTTTCATAAAATTGTATTTGATAATCTGATGGAAGTGTCCAAACTAGCTGTACACAGTTCATGGAAAATTACATTGTATATACTTGTACTAATTAACCATTTAACCCTCTGTGCTAACATTCAAATAGTCTGCCCATGTAAATTTGTAGTGTCTTGGTTGTAACAACTACTACTTTAAATGCAAGTTCCTGAAGGACTCCTGAAAACAGAGCATGGAAGTGAAGATTATATTCTTTAGAATCAATGGGGATTCTAACAGTACTCACTTCTGAGTGTATCTTTCACAAAGTGGGGTTGGAATAACATAAAAAAAAAATCACCTTTTCGACATTTGTTCTACCTCAAATCTAAAAGGTTCTAACTAGCATCTACCTGATGAACTATTTATCGTTTATTATATAACCTTACCTTTCCAGTAGTCCTGTAGACTATAGTTGTCCAGCCAGGAACCGTCGTAACACCGACTGAACTTTCTCGGCTCTTCAGTCGTGGAGCCGAGCGTAATTCCTTTCATTGTCTGCTTGGGCACCTAATTCATAAAATACATTCAAATTACCAACTTCTGACAAAACTGCGATTATATTCCATGTCACATTATTTATACAACACGAGGAAGCTAAGGACATGACGATTACTTTATTCGCTCACGGACACAACCACCTTATATTTACTTAACTATCACTGCCTTATTCGCTTTCGCACAAAATAGATACAATAACATCTTCGGAAATATGCTTTCTCTCGAACGCTCTAAAACGACGATAACATAAATTTGTGAGCGTGCAACATCTACACGACACACCCTTAAAACAAAATAACGTTCCTAGCGCTGGAAACAGAGAGGCATATATATTTCTAATTTCATTCGGTGTAGTAAGCATACCATTCATATACAGAAACAACACGGAGAAGTAACTTCGTGTGTAAACGTCGACTCTCATTTCACATTTTATCAAAATCCATACTTACCAATCAACCACCTAACAAGACGCCATTCCAGCAACACAATTCGCCACGTAACTGCCTACGCCACAATCCTCACGATGCCACCAACGGAATATTACCAATCTCTGATTGGTTCACTCAAATAAGGTTCGATACATTGCGATAGGTCTATTGTGATTGGGTCTCACTATCTAGTTCCAGATATGTGCGGAGAGATGGCAGGAGATCTACGTCTCCCGATGTCCAACGGCGAGACAGGCGGGAATTGCAAGGGGCGAATCTCAATATTGTCACTTGTAGGGTGGTACTTACTCATCGATCTGAGCCCTTCTTGAGAAGTGGCCAATTGTGCAGCTACCCAAGAACTTCCCAGCATTATATGGAAAACAATGACCTTTATCGCCTTCAGACAAATTTGACAATTTAACAGAGAGGACCTTACTATTTTGGCGTTAAACTTTTTAATCATCTTCCTTTAAATATAAAATAGTTAATCCAGAATATCAAACAATTTAGAGCAGCTTTAAATGCTTTTTTACATACTAAATCCTATTACACTTTAGATGAGTATTTTAATTAGGGATAGTTTCTTGTTTAGCTATGACCCTTTATTTGATCTATTGTCATGCATATGTTCCAGTTTTGTATCATATTTCATATACACATGGTAGGTTATGTAGTTGCAGTGATGTGTAGGATTTCATATGCTTGATTTATAGTTGTGGATTTATATGCATTGCTTTGTTGACTGCTTGCTGATTTAGCAAGCTTGTGATGTAAGAGGTTCTGTATCCAACGGCTTCGGCCTTGTATGGATGTGCTGGAACAAAGTTTCATTACCGTATTCACAAGAGCACTCCACAGGTCCTTACCCTGACTCAGATCGATCAAGTCTATACCATCCCTTCCTATCTCTCTCAGATCCATTTTAATATTGTCCACCCACCTATGACTTGGTCTTCTTACTGGTCCCTTTCCTTCTAGCTTTCCAACAAATATTCTATATGCCTTCCTCTTCTCCCTCATTTGTTCTACATGGCGTGCCCATTTCATACTCCTTGACTTTATCATTCTAATTACACTTGGCAATGAATAAAAGTTATGAGGCTCCTCATTATGCAGTTTTCTCCAAACTCATGCCACTTCCTCTCTCTATGATCCAAATGTTCTCAACAACCTGTTCTCAAACACTCTCAGTCTGTGTTCCTCCCATAAGGTCAGAGACCTAGTTTCACACCCGTACAGAACCACAAGCAAAATTATAGTTCTGTATATTCTAATTTTTATGCTTTTAGATAGCAGACAAGAAGAGAAAAGGTTCTGGACTGTATGGTTCAGTATCCTCTTAATTTCCTCCTCAATCAGGTTTTGAGTTGTTATCGTTGTTTCCAAATATCTGAACTGTGTCACATTTTCAAAGCATATGTTATCAGACTTTATCTCATGTTCTTGCTGTGCATTCTGGTCATGAGACAGCAAGATATTCTTAGTTCTCTCTGTATTTACTACTAGAATAACCTACTTACTAGCGTCAATTAATGTCTGTGTGTTTCTCTTTATGGTATTTATGAGGTTCGTACTGAAAGTCATGAGCAACAGTTTTTTGTAAAATAACATGCTTTATTGTTGACAAACCAAATACACNTGTTTTTTTTTTTTTTGCTGCCACCTTCAGACTACCTCTGGGAACCATCCAGCCTTCTACCCAGTGAACACTGGGGACTCTTTCCCCAGGTGTGAAACTGATCACTCATGTCTCTCCAGTGAAGAGTTATAGAGTGTCAGTTAGCTTCACCAGCAGCACATTAAATGCACTGAATGAACAAGTATATTAATTACTGGGGTTTTGGGCTCTTTCCATCATCCGGAATTCTAGGTAATAAAGGACACTCATCTATTACCTAGAGTGTCCTCTATTACCTAGAATTCTGGAAGACAGAAGAAGTCCAAAACCCCAGTAATTCTGTGTCATCCGCCATCATCAGAACCCTTTAGAATCTACAAGGATATTAATGTGGGATGCAATCCCACAAAGAAATGGATGTGAAAACCTAAGTATACCTTCCTATACTAGGCAAGTGACATTACAAATATTCTCATGGAGTGGCATCTTAAAAATTGTATTTTTTTTCCCCTAAAAGTGTAACCCATCATAATTCATCACACTAATATATATATATTTTACATACTTGGAAAAGTAACGAAAGCTTGACCCTTCATTCGACCGGTCATAAGTCTGTAAATTATTCTCCATTGAACTCGATCATCCAGATGTCCGAATACAGACACCAAGTCGGCCTCCTTGACCCTATTGGACAGATTCTTCACAAACAGAACCTGTAAATATGTTTTATAACATAAAATTTACACTCATTTTGAAGATTGATAGAAAATGTGGTGTGGCTCCAGAATGAAATACCATAAATACAATTTTTCAACCTCTATAATTCTATGTTGAAATGATATATTCAAAAACAAACATAATATATAGCACTTTTTTCTTTGTTAACCAGAATCTCAAGTCCACCAGAGTAACTTCTTAATGGAGAACAGATGTGAAACTATTGGTTCATGGACTGCATATGGCCATAAAACTTTCCAGTATGTCCTGCAGCCTAATTTTATGAATGATCATGACTAGCTATGGCAGATTTTATGGGAGAAGGACATACAAACACAAATATTAAAAGCAATACAGAATTTCTATGGAAACTCAAACACATGCACAAAATACAATGAGGAGCAAATCTCAGAACCAATCAACGCCAATGAAGGAGCAACACATGGATGTGGATTAGCACCAGACTTGTTTAATATTTACATTAATATAGCTATGAGAGAATGGAAACAAACCAGTAGAAATTGTATCCTACTGACCTATGGGAAAGAATTCAAACAATATTGCATGTGGATTGTCAAGTTATAACAGCAAAATTTGATAAGTTACGAACAGCAGTAAATGAACTAAATAAAATCATTAAGAAATATGGCATGGAAATATTCCCTACAAAAACAAAAGGGGTCATCAACGTCACGTATTTGGTGAAGGTCAATATTTTCTTATAGCATGAATTTCTGAAGTTCTGTGCAGAATATTAAGCTGCTGTTGCTGCGTTAGTACTAAGCAGTTCCTTCATAACAGAAATTACACAAATTCCATACTGTGTGCTTAAGCCTGGTCAGCCACACAGTTCAGACACTGAACTCCCTTTCGAACTGCAGGGTTTCATGCTTTACATGTACACATTGGATCATAGACAGATGTTCATTGATTCACACCTGATAGAGCATGTGGGATGTCAGTTCCGGTATTTAGAGAGACAACCATGTAAATTCCTTATGAATGCCAGTGAAGCTCCAGTCACATTGGTCTGGCTTGTGTGGGGAATGGCAGACCTCCATGGTTGGTAGCCAGATGTAGAGCAGTAAGAACTGGCAAAGGGCTTACTAAGAGTCGAGGTGACTGCTTTCGGAGTTGGTTGGTGGCATTGCTGCTAGGAGGGTTGCTATTGCCGTGTGTGCTCCAGATGCTGTCATGGAGTACGAGTAGCTCCAACTGATTCAATACCAGGATGTGGTCTGCATCTTTATCCACTGTTGCTAGTGGTGCCCAGCTCAGTGGGTGCTGTCTTGGTCCATGTGGATTGGCTAGCACTTGCTTCACTCTGTGGTAGTTGGCCTGCAGATGCGATGAGGTAGGCTCTCACAAACAACATCCAACTGTTCATATGACTTTTTCATTTTCAAGGTGCAGGATCACAATAATCACAGTTCCTTGCAAATTCCATTAAATTAGTTCTCTATTCATTTGTGCCATGTTAACAATATTCTTTTACTAGGTTTACTGTTGATTCACTTTTTACATTTTATCAATTAATTTGAGCTTTAGTTTCAATGTCTTCTGCTTTTGAGGCTTCCTGTGTCCTTTTTTATTTTTTATGTAAAGGGTTTGCTCCTGTTATGGTTTATCCTACAGTCATTGGTTACTAAATGTAGATGCACAGAATTTAATGTAATATGTGTATGTATACATATATTATTGACTTATAGAATCACTGCAAATGAGAATCTATCACAGAGGTATTTAAACAGTAACGTGCTATCGGAGGGTACATACAGATCATACAGAATAAGATGGGCCTTCATTTATCCTCAGTGACATTTTTCACAAACAGATAATTGCAAGATATAAAAATCTTAACATACCTGATGATTCATTATGATCTTGTGAACTATTCTTTGGTAATAATATAACCTAACACCTGAATTACTTTGGCTCCTCATTTCTAATTTTGAGAAAAATTCGAGAAATTGAGTGATTTCTTTCCTCTCTGCATAACAATGTTTTGCTGAAAAAGTTAATATATATTTTGGACTGGACTTCTGTTTACACTCGGATGATGGCTGTACAACTTATTTGATTATAGTATGTATTCTACACTTCAGTTCTATCAGTATCTAATTGTATTTTATTATAGGTTCACTGAGATGAATGAATGTCAAGCATAAAAACTCGCCATGCCTATCATAACCTCAACCCCTCAGTCTTGTTCCATAACCTCAACCCCTCAGTCTTGTTCCATTACATACCACAAATAGTAGTATGAAAAATTATAAGCTTCTTTCCACTGTATGATGATGTACAAGATTACCGTGTTTTAACTATGGTTCCGCCTAATATGAATAACACCCTCACTGCTAACCATATTTTTCCCCACAGACTCCATAGTTTTGGCAAAACAAATTTTTGTTAATTTCGCTGTTTTTGATGAATAAATTCTAATATTTGACAGTGATCATCTGCATAAGGCAGCTGTAATGGAATTGTTACTATAGAAGTGTATAAGCTACCTGTGTTAAAATTGAGGCTCTCAGAATGGTTGCTATGAAGAGTACTATCTTGTGGGATTTGCAGCCCTGAGAGACTGTTCATTGTGTGCTTTCTTATTAGTTACTTGCTTGGCTTCCCATCTGAGGACCGAGGTTTCATAGTGTGAAACTGTTCAACCCTAATCAAATACCTTCAGAGATGCTAATGTATGAGTATGGAACATAAGTGCAACAATGATAAACTACTCATAGAATGACCTGCCATGTTGTCAC